GAACCCGCGGGCTCAGGCAATCCACTCACCTCAGCCTCCCAAAGCACGGGATTACAGGCTGAGCCACCGAGCCCGGCTAATAAAAAATAATTCTAATATAAGGATCATTATGACATAAGTCTTTAAATCCTGTTGCACATGTTTGATGTTCTAGTTTACCACAAGTTATCATATACAGTCATTATAATAAAGTTTAAAAAATAAACTATCTTAAAAAAATTCAGTAAGACCCAAACTTTATCTTTACAATGACTATTTGTATACCTAACCCTGAATTGTACTGCAAATCTTTAAAGTAAAATTTAAAATTCAGTTTTACAACTTTTACTTATCCACATTCTGATAAAAAAATAAAATATAAAGATAATTAGGTTTAGTTATCCAATTTCAACCTGGCTATTTTGACAGTTTGCATATCAAAAAAAATCATATATTAAATTACATTTTTAACTTTTCTATAATGCAAAAATAAAAATTATAAAAAGTGTCTCTTTCTTACCCATATCTTGAAATTGTGGTGATTCTATGATAGTGTTAGGCTTTCTACAACAGAAAAAAATACAATAGGATAGTAATGTCAGTAACACAAGCAACAATTCGTTGAACACTCATTCGTTTTAGAGGCTGTATCCTAAGCTTGTGAAAATATTGTTTAGATACCTTTGTTATAAACACAAGAGTCATCTAATTGTACAGCTGTGTGCTTTCTCCAGAAGATGAAGGAGTGGAAAGCCGGTACTCTCCTAAGACTGTCAGAGGAATCCCTGTAGGACACATTGAAACTGTTCTATTGGGCATTGCGGATTTGGACACATATGAGAAGTCAAGGTTGTCACAAAGGACATTACAGACTTCTGGAATTATAAACATCATTTCATTTTAAATACTTCTAGTTTTAACAATTGAAATAACACTGTATACCACTATTTTTCACCACAGCTGACAATTCTGACATGTTTATGCTGACTTTAACGTATATATAAAATTATCTCTTAGTGCTTTCTTAGTTTATTCTCATCTGAGCTGATCACAATATAATTTTGATAAGGCCAAAGATATAGAGTCCTTTCAGACGCCAACCCCAGGCAAAGGTGTCTTCCTTATGCAATCGCAAGCTCAACATCCATATGTATACCTAGTTTCCACATAAGTTGAAATCTCATGAAAAATCTTGCTAAGTAAAGGTCAAGGGGAGAAAAAAGGAAAAACAAAGACAAAGAACCTTTGTGGGGGGAGGTGATCTAAATCTGTCTTTCCCAAACTTCAGTGAATTTCCTTGAGATGTTAAGATGCAGATTCTGTTTCAGTGCTTCTGAGGGGGACCCTGGAGTCTTCTGTCTAACAAGGTGATATTTGTGGACAGTTTCCACGTACAGGGCCTAGATTATCACAGGAACTGGAGGATCTAGATGATCACAGATCCTTCGTCACTGGAGAAACAAAAACTTTAAATATGACTGGCCTACAAAGAGAGAAGCAGAAAAGAGATGGAACCAAGAAGGAAAGCATGGGTGGGATCACACGGGGCCTTACAGGCTAGGTCAGAGACTTTGTTCTTTACCCAAATAACAGGGAAATAATTGATGGAAATGTCTCACGGTGGTTCCATATTCAGGTTTTCTCTTTAAGCATTCACAGAAAAAGAAGTCAATGAACATTCACTCAGAAACATGTAACTTTGTTTGATAGCGATTTACTGAATAGTGATATTCAGTTATCAAAGACTGTATATTTATTTGTTTAAGTGTTACCCGACTTAGCTCATGACTGACAAGGTAGGAATAAAGCAAAGGGGTTATCTTTTAGACTTATTAATCAATTATTCTGCCCTCATAGAATTTTCTAGTAAAAGATAAATAAGAAAAATAATATAGAAAAAAATGAGTCATTCTGAATACTCTTCAGAAGGTTGGAGTAAGCAGTATGATGTGCAAAGGCAGTTATTAATATGCTAAATGTGATTTGAATTGCCCTGAGTCTTAAATTTGTGTAATTATTTTCTTACTCATTTTGTTTTTCATATTTGAGGGCAAAAGATCTGCATTGCAGTGTCTAGTATGAACAGTCTTTTCAATTCAGTGGCCTTCCACCTCAGTGAAATTTCTAAGGGTCCAATGGTGTGGGACGTGCTGAGATAACCCTTCTAAAGTTGTTGCATCAAGCCCCTCCTACAACCGAAGAGGAAAAGCTCCTAGTGGTACTTTTTGGATTATAGGGCAACATATCCTCATTTGTCTGTATTATTCTGACCCATTTACCAAGTGACCAGAAAGATGCTTGTTTTAAGTGGGCTGGGGAAAAAAGACAGCTCAACAACAGATTAAGATGCAGTGCATGAGGATGCTGTTTGGGATGTTTGACAAACCCCTATAGATGAATTACAGTTCACACAGACCTGTAGAAGACTGGCCAAAGCCCTACAATCCTCTGCAGGTAATACTTCCCTTTTGAGAAACAGCTCTACTCCTGCTCCTGAACCTCAGTAGAGGGCAAATGCTTAACCTCAAGCAATCAAGTTGCAATACAAACAGAGATGGTCCTCATGATCTCTGTGTTAGCTGACCCACCATAAAGTTGGGTATGCACAGTACCATGAAATGGAAATTGTATATGTGTGACTGGACCAAATCAGGCCCTCAAATTACATGTAGGTTTTATGAACAATAGACCAAATCCACATGGTTTGCATTCCTGATGCACTGTCTTCTCTCTCCTGGCCTGCACCTGTGGCCACAAAGAGAGTTTGCATAATCTCTTGACAGAGGAAGCGAAGACTTAGGTCTGGTTTACAGATGAATCTGCATAATATACAAGCACGCTTCAGAAGTGGACAATTGCTTTGGCATTATTGTTGCTGACACATGGATACAATTCTAGAATGAAAGCTATAAGATTTACTTCTGTTTGTATGTTTATATATGTCTGTGTATGTTTGACATTGTCCTACCTTTGTATAGGATTAAACATTAATTTGTAAAAGAGCTCTATTTAATTGGTTTAAATAAGAATATGTACCTACATAAACTAAAGAATATGTGCTCATTGTTTCAGAATGAATAAGAAAAGGACAGCAATTGAATAAATATAAAAAGTTGGGAAGAGAGACAAAATCTGAGCATGTTGGCAGGAATTGATTATAAGCATTCTGAAAATGAGTCTTACTATCAAACCTACAGTAATACTAAACTAGAATTTGGTCTTCTTTGTTAAAATGACACAGTTTTTGTATTAATCTGCTCCCATTAGAGATTTTTGAAGGGTTTTTTTTTGGTTTTTTTTTTTGTTTTTTTTTTTTTGAGTTGGCGTCTCACTCTGTTACCCAGACTGGAGTGCAGTGGCTGTTGGGCTCCAGT